TATTTTTTAAAATAAATTATCTATAAAATATAAATATAATAATTAAAATTAATTTATACGTGACTTTAAACATTATAAATTTTAATAATAATAATTTAGTTATAAATTAGTAAATATATGTGCAACACAAATTTATTTATATTGTTTATTAATTTATTTTATTTTTAAATAAACAAAAATTATAATTTAAATATAAAAATATATAATAATAAAATTTTATTATATTAAATATAAATATATTAAAAATATTATTTTTTATAAATAACATAGCATACAGTTTTCATCATTATCACAAAAGATGCTACTTAATTTAGTAGTCACAAACCAAATAACTAATAACTGCATGAATTGGAAATTTTTAACTCTGAAAAGTTAAATTGAGAGAAGAGAAGGCTTTTAAAAAATCATTTGAGTATTAAAAATGTGGGATGATTCCGTTGCCGGGAATTGAACCCGGGTCTCCTGGGTGAAAGCCAGATATCCTAACCGCTGGACGACAACGGATTTGATGTTAAAGTAACAAATAACATAAAAACACTATTGATTTAAATATATTTTCTTAAGTAACTCAATTTTTGTAAATTGCACATATTGAGAGATATTTGGTGGCAATGCTCCTTGATCATTTCTCTATTTTCATAGCATTTCAAGAGGCCATCAAACACTACAGTGCACCCATGTTAGGGAAACAGTTTCCAATTGTAGTAGTACATTCCAGGCCCATACTTTTGCTTTGTGGGCTGCTGGAGAAATGTCTTAATTGTACACAAAATCATATAAATGATGTTACTCTCGTATTGGTGTTTCCTTCAGGCAGCATGATTGAATATGCTCAAAAGAACTTGGTATATATATAAATATATATAGATGATGAGGGAGTTATCATTTCCGAAAAAATGATGAAGCTTGTGAATCATCTTTTCAACTGTTCAGAGTAGAGGGGATGTGCCTCGTGTCAATCATTTGGAAGCTTTCAACAATTGGTCTGTCTTTAGGCATATATATTTACATGCATAATACAACTTCAAATTATCACTTCTTTTTTATAACTTTCTCTCAGTGTGTTTGATTCAAGGTCAAATTTACTTTTACGTGAATTTATTTTTATACTACTAAAGTTTTCAAACATCCACAGTCTACTGACTCTTGCTGTGATGCAATATTAATACCTTTAGATTATGTTTCCATGATAGTGACAAATTATGGCAAATGGTGCTGGAATTTAAAGATTTATCTGGTTGCTAAGAGAACCCACAAGGATGAAATAAAAACAATTTTTACTCATCTCCTCCTAAATATATTTTTTTTAAATAGAATAATAGCTGAAAGAGGGACATAAAAATAGTGAAGACTTGTAAGAATCTAAACCAAGTAAATCTTAGTAATAATGACGCTCACCAGTTACGGGGAAAATAAATTAATTTTTTAAAAACTTTTATTTCTCTTGTACGGATAAGTAATATAATATAGTTATATAGAAAGAGAAAAAGCAATTTTAATCTAATAAAAAATCATAGTTCTTACGGGGGATGCAAGCATATATACGTGATGTAATTGCATTTTCCTAATTTCTATCTACACCTACAGCCACATGTTTCCCTGTATATTGTTAGTTTGTGCCATAGTAGAAAGTGATGTTGAAAATGAGATGATTGCCATCGAAAGAGTGAGGCCATGCCTTCAACTTAGGAATTTTTGTATTTTCACACTCACTTCTTTTTATTATTATTTCTTAGTTTAACTATTTTTATATTTCTTTATGTAATATTAATTATATTTTTTTATTTGTTGACTCTTTCTTTTATTTATTTTGCACACAAAAAATTGAATTTGAATGTATAATTTTCCTAAATGGTCGATTTTTTTATGACCCTATAACTTCACTATTTTTCTTATTTGTATATTCTTCACCAAAATATAATATAAAATGGTTGAAGTTATGATATTAATGTTGGGTTTAATTACTATAGTGTCCAATTAATTTTGTAAAAAAAAATCGATTATTGATGTGGCATTAGGTTGGACAATCTTTTCACTTTTTTTAAAAAGTATTAATTAACGATGTTCTACAAGTATAGCATACACAGAAGAGTATAATACATGTTATTAATAAGTTATACTAAAAAAAATTATTAAAATGAGTTAAAAAAATTTAAAGATTATAAGAAGAAATTTCTTTTAATTATCAGGTGTTTAAATAATATTTGAGGGAGAAAAAAAGAAAGAAAAGTATCGTGAAATATTATATCAAATTCAGTATAGGTTGATTTCTAATTTTGCTCCTCTAAATTAATACAATAAGTTTCTGAACTCATGTATTTAGTACTAGAATACGATGAAACTTGATAAACGATTGTAAAAAAATAAGAATTGGAAAAATAAAAAAAAATGAAAGAGTTTTGGAATTTTTTCGGTGCTTCACCATCAGAAGGATAAACTCATGCAATAGCCCAATTCCAATGAAATGGCATTAAAAAGAATAAATTATTATAAGAAAATTAATGACTAATAAAACTCGTCCATTTATCATGTGCATGAATGAAAAAACTAACCATGTAGTATTGAATTCAAAACGACAATAGAATAAATAATTATGAATGTTTGGAATTAATGATTAGAAAAGAAAACATGTTTCACCTTTATGTTTCTTTTCTCTTCCTTAATTAAAAATTATTTTAAAAGTGGTAGTAAGAATTATTTTTTTTAACCTTCATCTCTTTTTTCTTCTTATCCTCGTCCAAGTAACAGTTACTTGATCCTTCTTGCACTTTTCTATTAATTCACTTTAATTACAAGTTCCTCCTTTTAGCTATTTTCTATGTTAAACCTTAAATATCCAATCCTCTTAGAATCTCTGGACATATCTAGAAACAGTGATCTTATCGTTTAGCTGTTTATTAAACATATGTTAGGATGCTTTATTTTGATATGATGTAACATTGTTTTCTTTTTGCTACTTCTAGGTAGCTTTTGTATGTTCTGACATTTTTTAGGCAATATTTTGCACGCTTAAATATATGTTTAGGTTATTTTTATGTATTGTAATCAACATCTCAAAAACGTGTGCTAACAAGTGTACTAGCTGAATTGCGTAAATAATTTAGGAAAAGATAAACAAAAAATAAAAAAATAATTAGACAGAATGAACTTGAATTGAAAATAAAATTCACAATTACAAAAAAATTAGTTTGTAAAAGGATGTTTGAAAGATTTTTAAGCTTGTTACAATTTACTTTAATAAATTTATAACATAACTTATCAAAATAATTTTTAAAATTTATATAATAAATTTATATTTAGACACATTTTAAATTCATAAACATCAGATAATCCAAATCATTCAAATTAAATTGGTTCGAATTGATGAGTTAAAGAAGGATCACAAAATTAATTGGTTTTACAGATTTAACCAAACACTTTCAATTTTCATTTTAAGAACCTACATATTAAAGCAAATTCAAATAAACTTCGTATTGTTTAAAAGAAGCTTAATTAAACACGGATTTTTAACGTATGAACTTATTAAATATGCGAATGCAATGTGAAGCGAGAAAATCAATCAGACAATGCAAACATCTTTATTCTCTGTTAATAAATTAGTGTATTATTTGTGGAACAGAAGTCAACTGCACAATGAAAGTAATCAGACAACGCAAACACCAACTAGCTCAGGGGTACCTGAAATTATTTCCACATCATAAATAAAGCTGAAGCATGTTGTTCGTTTGTTTTCTAGGTAAATGAATACAGAAATAAACAAATTAATGATTCGGGTGTAATCAAAATCAAAACAATTATAATCATATCATATATTGCTATTATTATTATTATCATAAAATATTGATTTAAATAAATAATCCTTCGTGATGATAAAAAGCCACGGATGTACATTTTTTATTGGCATAAAAATCTTGAGCCAATGAATCGTGAGCTTCCAGTTAGCGTAAGCTTTGCATTGTCATTTCTATCTATAGTATTCCATACTCAAGTAACAAGGAACCGTTCCCAAAAGACAAATGGTAACGTTGCTTTCCTAGGAAGAGTTAACACAACCTTGATGCTCCTTTTAACTGACATCATGGTCACCTTCCTTAGATTGTAGCCTTTTCCAATTTTCATTTTTCTTTCCATGTACCAATCCCAACGAGGCAACAACAATATTAACAAACACTATTATAACTAGCTAGTATTAAAAAAGGGAAAAAAAAAGTGAGACAATTGTAACACATTAATCCAAAATTAAATCCTTTGTATTTTTGGGCAAAGATATTAGTATAATTAATTAAGTGGCTTAAGAGAGTATACTATTAAAGGTTAAGTAGTTAAGTTGAGTCCATCATTATCCATTAAATAGTACACTACTACTACTACTATTACTTTGCCTATTCCCTTTACGATGTTGTTTTCCTAGTGCATTGGGTAAAGTCCTTATTCATCGATTGCTTCCATTTCCCAAAGTCCCCATTTCTTTCATTCCTATGTTTTATACAAGGCACCAAGTGCAGAAAAGAGTCTCAGTTTTTTTGTTCATAAAGTTATTTAGAGAGAGAGAGAGAGAGAGAGAGAGAGTAGAGAAGTAAACTATGTAGTTCACTTGAGCACAATGATTAAGTGTCATGCAAGGCAAATGGGACAAAAGCAATGCTTATCTCGAAACCCAATTGGCCATCCTCTCTTTTCCAACTTAACAGCTCTCATACACCGTGGCATTCTCAAATCCATATCAAAAGGGCATATTATGTAAAGCTCAATAGCTACTGATTTTACCAAAACATCCCCACATCCCAATATCTTTCTTTTCTTTCTTCACTCTACCAACCGTGGTCAATACTGTCACGCCCAAAAAACATACACGATAACCCACGTTTCAAACTAAAAAGCTACCCAGCTGAATACCCATGTTACCCTTCCCAACTACACATGACTATGACAAAGGAAGGGCAATTGCGTACTTTCGACTCCGGACCAGAAATAAAACCATTAAAATAAAAACAGTGAACGTGAGCGATCCGCGCAGAAAGCACACACACAGACGAAGAGAGAGAGGGAAAGCAGTAGAGAGAGGAAGAGAGAGAACCGTTTGAGAATTTTTGAGACGTTATCGGATTTCAAATCCGCAATTCGCCGGAATTTGGGAGCCCGGTTGCGTCCGGGGGGCTACGCTAGGGTTTATTTTTCTCTTTCTTCTTCTGCTTTCTTCTACTGAAAGTGCGTTTTTGGTGTTTCAATTTCGGTTATTTTGCGGTTTGGAATTTTTGCGATTGGGGATGGAGGCGTGAAGTTGAGGTAGAATTGGGGAATTGAAGTTTGGGATTTCGTTGTGGCCGTGGAGTGGTGAATTGGAGGGTGGTGATGTTTACGCCGCAGAGGGTGTGGTCGGGTTGGTCCCTCACGCCCAACAAGAGCGGGGCTCGGACTGGAACCGGGTCGGGTTCGGACCTCGATTTGGTTCCGAATTCGGTAGATGGGGCAACTGCGAAGGGCAAAGGTGCCGCCTTTGTTGAGAATGGGGGAAACTTGGATCGCGAGGTTTTGGTTGAGAGAGTTTCCAGCCTCGAGAAAGAGGTTAGTTTATTCGTGTGTTTCTTAGTAGTGTTCTTTTTTTCTCTTAATTTGGTTGTTTTTGTCTTAATTTTTTCACTGGTTGTAGTGATTCGTCTTCTTGTTGCTGTCATATTGTGATGTAGATGCGTTTTGAAGTTTTGGAGCTTGAAGTGTTGTTTGCTTTTGGTTTTGATTTGAATTTTTGGTTGCGTAGTTGCTACGATGGGGAATTGAACTATTGCTACATGAATGTTTTTATTTCCTAAGAAAAAAAATGTAATTTTTGGGATAAGTTCTGAGTTGGTCATTAGTGAAATTTTGATTTTTTTTGTTTACTTGCTGTGGGTATTGAAACATGAAGCGTGATTCTGGGGTGGCAGCTTGTTATGTTCTAAGAACGTGGCTTGAAGATGGTAAATACTAGGGACTTAGTTCGTTATATTTTTTTGGTTAATTCAGTTCATAAGACACTCCCACCTTTTATTCGGTCTTTGCCCTTGTTTATACGGTAATTATGAAACTGCGAAAGGAAAGTCAATTTTAGTAAAAGGTGAACTGTTCTTACATATGGAATAGTTTACTTGCTGCTTGTGGGGAATGGAGAGGAGGGATTTTGTTTTGTCCTTCTAATCTTAGATATCAGGGCTGACGGTAATTATAAATGTGAAATTTTGTCTTTGGATATTGGTGTGGAGTTGCATTTCATTGTTACAGCTCTCTTTCACTGAAGTGTGAAATAGAGCAGAAATCCTATCAGTAAGATTAGGGTCAGACCCTATCCCATAATTTTCATGGCTTCAGGTATTCTTCTTTCATTTTCATTTACCCAGTACCCAACTCTGATGGCTTGGTGGATAAGGACAACAATATCCAACTTATCTTCCTTGTCATTCTATATTTGTGCTTTTTAACATGTAAAAACACGAGGAGTTGAGGACACTAGATATACATGCGTGTGTGCCAGTGCAACTTTGACTGTTTTATTTTATTTTATTTTATTTTATTTTTTCATTTATATGTTGGGGTTTGACCTGATTATAAATTTTTTGGACCAGCTTTATGAGTACCAATTCAATATGGGTCTTCTCTTGATTGAGAAAAAAGAGTGGAACACCAAGTATACTGAACTGAGTCAAGATTTATTAGGGCTGAAGGATGCTCTAGAACGGGAAAAGGCAGCTCATTTAATTGCTTTATCTGAGGCAGAGAAGCGAGAAGAGAATCTGAGGAAGGCTTTGGGTGTTGAGAAAGAGTGTGTGCTTGATGTAAGTTTTTTTGTCATACATATTTTTGTCAGAATTAACTTTTTCATTAAATGGAAATGCATGACTTTTGTATAAAATGTTATTTATTGATAGTCTATCTGTTGATACTTCTATCAGCATAATGTTGAAATATGTTTATTTCTTGCTTATATTTGGAAATTTATGCATCAATAGCTTGAAAAGGCTGTGCGAGAAATGCGGTCAGAGCATGCAAAAATTAAATTTACGGCAGACTCAAAGTTGGCTGAAGCAAATGCTTTAGTAGCTAGTGTTGAAGAAAAATCATTAGAAGTAGAAGCCAAGTTACGTTCTGCAGATGCTAAACTTGCTGAAATTAGCAGAAAGAGTTCAGAATTTGACAGAAAATCACAAGACCTTGAGGCTCAAGAATCTGCACTTCGGAGGGATCGGCTATCCTTCATTGCAGAGTACTCATCATTATCAATTCTCATTTTAATTTGAATCTTTTTTCTTGTTCTCTTTGTAACTGTATTAATATTCCTTGTGTTGTGGTGAATTTGTTTTGCTTTATAATAGGCAAGAAGCACATGAGAGTACTTTGTTGAAGCAGAGAGAGGATTTGCGTGAATGGGAGAGAAAACTGCAGGAGGGAGAAGAGAGGCAGGCCAAAGGTCAAAGATTTCTCAACGAAAGAGAGCAGAGGGCTAATGAAAATGACAGAATATGCAGACAGAAAGAGAAAGACCTTGAAGAGGCACAGAAGAACATTGATGCAGCAAATATAACATTGAGAAATAAAGAAGATGATGCAAACAGTAGACTTGCAAGTATAACTCTAAAAGAGAAGGTAAATATTTGTGAGTGATATTGTTTAGCTTTTTTTATTTGTTTATGTTTGTATCATGTTTTAATTGGTCCTTATCCTCTGATGCAGGAATGTGATTCTTTGAGAATAAACTTGGATCTCAAAGAGGAGGAGTTATCTGCATGGGAGGAAAAGCTCAATGCTAGAGAAAAAGTATGTTCTTATACCTACTCATTTACTTATTTTTATTTTGGTAAATTGTGAAGATGCATGGTAAATAGTCCTGTAATAAATTGTCGCACCAATCATAAAATCAGTGTGAGCCTCATTGTTAATTTGTTATTGAATGTTATGCCAACATGCTGCTGCAACACTTTTCCTTTTTCTTTGTTCTGCTGAATACAGCTTGGACTCTTTGCAGGTTGAGATGCAGAAGCTTGTTGATGAACACAAAGCTATTCTTGATGTGAAGAAGCAGGAATTTGAGGTGGAGTTGGATGAGAAAAGAAGATCCTTTGAAGATGCATTGAAGAATAAATTGGTGGAAGTGGAAAAGAAAGAAGCTGAAATCAATCACATGGAGGAGAAAGTTGCAAAACGGGAGCAGGCCTTAGAAAAGAAAGCTGAGAAGCTTAAAGAGAAAGAGAAAGAGTATGAACAAAAGGTCAAAGCTCTGAAGGAAAAGGAGAAGTCTATTAAGTCTGAGGAAAAAAGCCTGGAGACAGACAAAGGAAAAATAGAAAGAGAGAGAGAGGAGTTGCTTAATCTTAAGGCTGAAGTTGAGAAAATAAAGGTTAACAATGAAGAAGAGTTGGTGAGGATAAGTGAAGAGATAAACTGTCTTAAAGTGACTGAGGAAGAGAGGGCTGAATATCTGCACTTGCAGTCACAATTGAAGCACGAAGTTGATCAGTACAGGCTCCAGAAAGAGTTGCTTCTGAAGGAAGTTGATGACCTGAGGCAACAGAAAGAGACTTTTGAAAGAGAATGGGATGAACTGGATCTGAAAAGAGCAGATGTTGAGAAAGAGCTGAAAAGCGTGATTCAAAAGAAGGAAGAAATATTAAAACTTCAACAATTTGAAGGAGAAAAGTTAAAGAATGAGAAGCAGGCTACACAGGAGTTTGTACAAAGGGAGTTGGAAACTCTTAAGTTGGCTAAAGAATCATTTGCAGCAGAAATGGAGTTGGAGAAGTCAGGCCTTGCTGCAAAAGCTGAAAGTGAGAGAAACCAAATGCTTCTTGATTTTGAGCTGCGGAAAAAGGAACTTGAAGCTGATATGCAGATCCAGTTAGAGCAGAAGGAAAAAGACTTAATTGAGAGAAGGAAGTCATTTGAGGAAAAAAGAGAGAGTGAATTAAGCAATATTAACTTCTTGAGAGAAGTAGCTAATAGAGAAATGGATGAAATGAAACTTCAAAGAAGTAAATTAGAGAAGGAGAAACAGGAAGCTGATGAGAATAAAAACCATCTTGAAAAGCAAAGGATGGAAATGCAAGAGGACATAGATGTACTTGTTGACCTTAATAGGAAGCTGAAAAATCAGCGGGAACAATTTATTGTTGAGAGGCAGCGCGTTATTGAGTTTGTTGAAAAGCTTAGGAGTTGCCAGAACTGTGGAGAAATGATCTCTGATTTTGTGCTGTCTGATTTACAATCCTCTGCTGACATGGAGAATTTAGAGGTGCCTTCACTTCCAAAATTAACAGGTGATATTGTACAAGGAGGTTCTGACATAAATTTAGCTTCCTCAAGGCAAGATGCTGGAGTGTCTGCTGCAACTGATCCAAAGTCACCTGTTTCTGGTGGCACCATCTCTTGGCTACGTAAATGCACTACTAAGATTTTTAAGATTTCCCCCATTAAAAAATTTGAATCTGAAGATGTTGGTACTCTAAGAGATGCCACGACTTTGCCTGTTGAGAAAACTCACTCGGAAGATTCACCAGGAAGAATTCCTGGTTCTGAAAATGAAGCAGAGTTGTTGTTTGCTGTTGTAAATGATTCTTTTGATGCTCATAGGGTACAATCTGGCAACGATATCACAGAGGTTGAAGGTGACCATGATCCATCAATTGAAAACCTGAGCAACATTGACAATAAGGCACCGGAAGATTTACAGCCCCCTGATTCGAAGGTTGGGCAGCAGAAATCCCGCAAGGGAGGAGGAAGGAGCAGAGTAAAGCGTACGCACACTGTGAAAGCCGTTCTCAAAGAGGCTGAGGCAATACTTGGGGAATCAAAAGCTGCTGAAGCATTACCTGGGGAATCTGTGGATGATCGTCAGATCGAGTTTCCAAATGGAAATGCTGAGGATTCTGCCAATGTGAATTCTGAAAGTCAGAAACCATGCAATAAAAGAATACCGGTGAATGTTAGGAAGCGTAACCGAGTTCAAACATCTCAAATGACTGTAAGTGGGAATGATGGGGATGCCAGTGATGGACATTCTGATAGTATACCAGGGCAGCGCAAAAGGAGGCGACAGAAGGCGGCTGCTCCTCCTGCACGAGTTGCTGGTGAAAGTAGATATAATTTGAGGCGACCCAAAACGTAAGTACCTTTTAACTGATTTAGACTCATGATTTCCATTTTATTATTGAATGTGATAGTTGCCTAATGTTTACTTGTTTTTTTACCCACTTATGATCTGCACTGAATTTTTATAGCGGAGCAACAACTTCATCTGTTAGAGCTGTGTCTGGTGGAGGCAAAGAAAGTGAGGGGGAGGTTAATCGTTTAAAAGATACAGAAGGAATTGACTCAAAAGCTTCTCATTCACATTCTGTGGGCATTACTAATGAGAATGGTGGAAGCATACATGTTGAGCAGGTAAGCTTGGTATGGCTTTTAATCATGGAGATACTTCTATCTTTTGCCACTTTTTGTTTTCCTGAACTCCATATTTGAAATTAGATCTCATTTATGTATTATGAATATGTGGACTATAAAAATTTGGGATTTTGACAGTAGGCTCTTGCTTTTTGCAAGTTTTGGATATTAAATTGCTTGTTATTATTTGTTTCAGTCTCTGAAAGTTGTGGAGACTCATGATGGTTATGGTGGTACCACAAGGACCTTTGCCAACAATATGGCCTTGAGTGAGGAGGTGAACGGAACAGCAGATGATGTGGAGGGGAACGATGCTGAGTACCGGAGTGAATCCCATGGGGATGTTGCTGATGGCATTGATGATGAGGACGACGAAGATTACCAACATCCCGGCGAAGCTTCCTTAGGGAAGAAACTTTGGAATTTTTTTACTACATAACTCTACACTAGCTTCTTGGTAATGAAGCTTTGTTTGTGTCTTGACCTCTTGACTTCATCAACTTTAGGGATGATGTCAGAAGTTATCTTGTATTAACAATTGGAAGTAGATGTATGAATTATAACCACGGGGGTACTTAGGAGAGGTGATTGAATTTCTCTAGCTTTTTTATGCACATTTTCATGGATATTTGGAACCTTTGGTATTTGTTGATAGCTTTAGGCATTCGATAGTGTAGTTGCTAAGTTTAGAGATTGGATTTTAGGTACCTCCTTTTTGCAATTGATTGTATCCAAATGTTTGTATCTCTTCTACTCTTCTCCTAAATGTGATTGTTTGAACCTAATGAGGGTGCTTTTGTACCCTATTGTGTGAACTGTGGGTGGTAATGTGTATGCGACTTGGAGAATTGTCTATCGTGTTTGGAAGACTTGGTAGTAATTATTGGCATAATCACCTAGTCACATTAATATACAATCAAAAACATTATTTTATATTTCTATAGTAATTTCATAAATTATTACTAATTCTTGATATAACTTTAATTATCAAGCTTTTGTCATGTTCATATATTATTATAGCTAGCATAAGCATTGAACAGGCCACGTATCACAAGGGCTATTCGGACATCTATATTCTGTAATCATACTAAACATTCCAAGTACGTTATATTTTATTAAAGTTATTTAATTTTTTGAAAAACTATTAAAAATAAATTAAAAATAATTTAATGCAGACTCGTCGAGTTATATATTTATTAATAAGTAAAAGTAAAAATGTTTTCATTTTTAACATATATAAATTTAATAAATATTAAAATTTAAATATTAATAATGTGAACACATAAATTTGTTCGATTAATTAATTTATTACTTAAATATATTTTTTGAATGCGTCTGTTAGTTTAGAATAAAAATAATATTTTTAAATAGATTTACTTAAATATATTTTTTGAATGCGTCTGTTAGTTTAGAATAAAAATAATATTTTTAAATAGATCTGTAAAATAAATAATTTTAAAATAAGATAAAATAAAAAAATATTATAAAAAATAAAATACTAAATAAAATACATATAAAATAAAATGCATATAAAAATTTTCTTCTAAAATAATTAAGTAACATTGGATTTTTTTCTAAATTTATTAAATGACTTTTATTTTTTAATATTAAATTGAGTTTATTAAATATTTTAATAGATATTTTACTTACTTTTCTCTTTATTTTGTTTTAAAATATATATTCACAATTTCATAGATAAATATAAATTATATATATATTTTACTTTTTTATTATAAATAAAATTTTTAAAAATGATAAATTACTCCTTTCATTTTTTTTATAAAAAAAAAAAGAAACATTTCTTAATTTTTTATTATACAAAAGAAATGATAGATTCAAGATATATCAATTATTAAATTTTTTTTATATTTTTTATTATTATCATTAAATATATATTATTAATTATACAATTTAATACCATAAGTATTTTTAGAATAAAATTTATATTACAAAAATATAACTAATTTAATTAATTTTTTTAATAATTTAATCTCTTTTTTTTATCAAAAAGATTAAAGGGAGGGAGTATTATGTATTAAAATCGATAAAATTACTCTATCTAATGGAAAACTTGTCTAATAAAATATAATGTTTAAATTTTAAGGTTCATAGTCAATTTAAATTAAAATTTTTAACTCAATAAAAAAATTTAAATTTCTTCATGCTTAGCTACTTGAATTGAATCTAAATTTTTTTTTTTTGCCTTGGCCACTAAAATTTGCCGTTGAACTAATTTTGCTAAATTTATTACAAATACATTTGCAAATGGCATTTTTACAATTGATTTTAAATATCAAATTATTAAATTTAATATTTTAAAAATAAAATATACTTATTATCAACTTTAAAAAATTACTTAAAATCTTTATTTTATATTTTTAAATTTTATTATTTCTTTTTTCTTTTATTAATATTTTAACATATGAAACTTTAAAAGTCCCTTGGATCTATAAAATAAATAATTTTTAAAATAACATAAAATAAAAAAATAAATATTATAATAAGTAAATTACTAAATAAAATATATATAAAATAAAATACATATAAAAATTTCCTTCTAAAATAATTCAGTAATATTGAATTTAATGAAATTTATTAATAAAATAACGGTGTAACATAATTTTTATTTTTACAACAGTTAAAAAAAATTATAAACTAACAAATAAAATAAATTTTTTATAAAAGAAAATAATAAATAAACCAGGGAAGGAGACATTCGGACGACCCGGCCCAGAAAGTTGGCCATCTCTCTTTCTAAGTTTTACCTATAAAAGTGATTTGGGCATTGAACAAGGACTTTCTTTTGGCTGCTCTCTCACACTCTTCTAGAGTGACTTGCGGCAAAGGTTCCGACGGCTCCCTCTCGATTTTTTCTTTTTGGGGCAGTTGTCCCACATTCCTTTGGAGTTCGAGGGCAGAGAAATCCTCTCCCACGATTCTTTTGCCGGTGGACACAGTACCTTGCGTTCGCACATTAAAGGTTTTTTCTTGCTCACGTGCTATTGTTACGTCAAATATTTAGATTGCATTTTGATTTCCATATTAAGCATTTTGATTTCTATATTAATCGTTTCTTTATCCATAATAATAGTATATGGAATTTATGTTTTATAGTATGATTTCATAAAAGAGAAGGTTAAACTGATGTGTCAAGATAGAATAGCAATTAGCTATTAGGATTTTTAATGCAATATTATCTCATTTGCCCTTTCTTTTTCTTCTTATTTTTTCATTCTGGAGATTTTGATGCAATAAGCTTTGATCCTTTGAAGGGTTGAAATAACTGGAAGAGTTTCTGTAGAATTAGATTATAAAAACAACTGGTTTTAAATGTTTAACTTGTTCTAATAAATTTTATTTTCAAGTTAAAAGTGATGGTTCAATAAAACCTCTAGACTAGTGACTCTCCACGATTTCAACTCTTAACATAAAAGGTCAAATTAGTTTAAAATAGTAGTCCACTTCCACTGTGACTAATCACTTTCAAGTAAGAGGTTACTTAATATCGAATTCTAATTTCACCGATATTACTTTGCATTAATTTTAGCTTAACTTTCTTTTATCCCACCTTTTGGATCTCCCTGATGTGTTAAAGTTACTACGATTTTCGTCATCCCTTGCAATACGATACGTTTGGAACACTGATATTTGGAATGTATTTATTAGGATCATTTCAGTTAATATGTAATTTATTTAATTAGTTTGTAAGTTTATTTAACTAAAGTATAAATATTTAGTGAACGAAACATCTCATTAACTTACTATATATTTTTAAAAGCTATTTTAAATTTATAATTTATTAATATTATTATTTAATAAAAATTTTCATATACCCTGTCTTTATTCAAGAAAAAACCACACCTCACCTTCATAATACCCCCCATCTATCTTCAAGCTAGTAGTATCCTCAAAAAATTGATAAAATCTAAAGTTATAATTACCTAAAAATATATTTTTCTAAAAAATTATAATTTGTATATAAAAAAATTAATGACACTTTCAGCTCCTTTTATTTTAGTTTATATATGATTCTAATTCTTTTAGTTCTAATAACTGCATTTCGTCTCATTACTTTTACGTTGCTAAAATTAAGCTCCTTACCTCAAATTCTATATTTTAAGGCTGGTCAATCTATACGAATTATCGTCATGTCACATCTCCAATATATTTTTTTCGTTAATTTTTCCCAAAATTTTGTGATAAAATATATTTAATTTTAATAGTTGAAAGTTTTTTATGACTAAATATGAATAGACAAAGTCACATAAGTATAGAGACGAAAAATAATTAAGTAAAAAAAAAATTCATATAAACATATACTTTTATAATATTTTCTATTTATCAACTAATTTGATAGCTATTTTTTTTTCTCGAATACTTATAGTTTAAAAAGTTAACTTAATAACTTCAATTAATAATAACCTTTTAGCTTTTAGAATCTCATCTATTTTCGTCAAATATATATTTGATGTAATATTAGAATCTCATCTACTTTTATATTTGATGTAATATTTTAAAATAATATAAAAATAATTTTTTTAATAAATAACAATTTTTATAGACTAAAATAAAATGTACTTCAACATTGTAAAAATAAATTTTATTTTTGTAAAAATTCTTTAATAATTTAATAAATAATTAAATATATAATTAATAATATATTTTTATTTTTCTGTTTAATAACTTTTAACACGTTGCTAATTTACTAACTAATTAAAAAAAAGCAAAGATGGATTCGAGGGGAGGGAAAGATTAATTTTCTTTATCCATCAAATACAGTTCTGTTATTTTATTCGATGAAACTTTAGGGTAAATGACTACTATTTTTATTTGTTTGTTGTTTATTAATTTTTGTGTTTGTTTGTTCTCTCACATGCCACTAATTATGCATAATATGAGTGAGGTTCTATACTCGAGTCAGAGTAACTTTAGACTTAGAAGAGTTATGTAATGATAGCAATTTGGATGTACGTCTGGTTTGTCTATCATGATAACTCTAGCTAGAGCTTATCTTTTCTATATATGTCCCTACATCTAGTAGACTACCTGCTGATTGTAGACGATATTATGGAATGAATGTTAACTCTAGTGACCTACTATCCTTAGACTTACAAAATGCCTAAAGTGAGAATGCATGTTATAAATGCCTTAGTATTTTAGGTTAGAATTTTAGCAACCTTGACACTATGGGAACACACTTTTCTTTCTCATCACACCGCATTTTTGTCTTTACATTATAATGAAAATTATTAATTTTTTTTTATATCAATACAAAACAATATATATATACATATATATATATATATATAAATAATATCAATTTGTATTTTAGGTGTACAGTTCTGTTATTTTCTTTTAATTTCCACTTTTTCTATCATGGAGAATGCTGATTTTGTGTGAATGCTAGTTTGTACATTTCTTTTATTTTCTTTTAAATTCCACTTTGTCTTTCATGGAGAATGAAAAAAGTAACGTTGATAAAAAAAATATATTACATGGACAAGAGATCTAAAAATAACAAAAAAAAAATTATAATTTGTTTGTTACTGAAAATATTTTATCCACTAGACGTAGTAGAGAGTTGAGAATTGTAATTTGTTTAAATTTTAAGAATATAAATAGTATGTATAGAAACATAATATTTTACAATGAAAATAAAAGTAATAATTTTTTGACTAAAAAATGAAAAGATCTTAACAGAGATAGAAAAAAAAAACTAATGAATTTTCAAATTTTTCTTTGGCCAAATTATAGATTAGAAGAATTAGCTTGTATAAATCTTTATGTGAATGTTAGTTCTACTTCATGTTAAGAAAATGAATAAATCATAAAACATAAAATAGGAAATGAGCAAAAATTGTAATCATGCACATAATAGCAACGAGATGCATGTAATCATATTAAGCCTGATCAGAATTTATACTTGATGAGTAGGGTTGTCCTTTTTTTGGTTTTTATTTTTTGGGCAGAGGATATGACCAGAGTTAGCTGCCTTTCGATTATCATTTTCTTTCTTTGTGAACAAACCTCAGTTATCATTTGTGGATGTGACCCTTTTTATTCTTTTTGGCCTTATGGATGTCACCACCGTTAATAACACATCATATTATCACTTTTCTTTATGTTAATGCTAGTTCTACTTCTACTTCATGTTAAGAACCATGTGAACATTTTCCTTTAATCGTAAAATTATCTGTCCCAGATAACGTAATTTTTCGTAAGGGTGTTGATTTCGTTGCTATTTCATTTGTCAATTCTGCTGAAGTTATTACTCATCTTAAAAGCTATATTGCTGCAGGATTCATGGGTCCGATAAAGGATCCAGAAATTTTGGGTCATGTAAGAGATTTAGGATCTAATAAATGGGAATGTAACTATTGCCATCGTAGATTTCATGGAGGTGCCACAAGAACTAGAGCCCATGTCTATCATGTAAAACATAGAGGCGTTGCTTTCTGTTCTGTTGCCAATTTGGGCAATCCACAAACAACTGGTACAACTTTCAATCCATTACGAGGAACTTGTTTAGTAATTTAAAAATAAAAGTAAAAATTGTGGCTTTTGCTTTTTTTATCCTTTTTTTTAACTCTTTAAATATCAATTTAGGTTTTTTTTTATTAATAAAATGTTCAATAAAAAATATATTATATAATTGATAATAAGTTTTCTCTTACTAATTAATATTTTACTCAATTATTTTGAGTGGGTGCATTTTCCTTCGCTAACTTGAAAGATTTATATGTTAGGTGATTATACAGTTAACTCAGAAATTTCCCACTAATAAAGTTTAGCAAAATATACATAACAAAAAGAAAAGACCATTAAAGGATTAATTAATGCAAAAAGGTTAAAAAAATTATCAATTAGGATTGATGTGAACACCTTAGGATTTCATTCTAAGCCAAAGATGTTAAACCTTGAGCATGCCTCGTACTTCGGCCACAGGAACTTGAAAAAGTCCATACCATATATATAATATAGCAATAACACTAGGTTATACACACATATTACAGCTGTTGATTACAAAACTTTTTCTAATTATCGACATTATTATCTAAGTATTGTATCATATTATCAAAGATTACTTGTGTATGACTATCTAAATAATTTGAATAAACAAGGATAAAAGTTCATCACAGAGAGCGTGAAGCGCAAACACTAACACCAGTATTCCCTATTCTGTAGGCCCCTTCGAGAAAACATGGTGCATCAATTCTCTTGACATTTTTCAAAGTATTTTCCAAATGAACTTGTCCAAGTAGAACATGCCATGAACACATACATGCCCAATCAAAATAATTAATTAGAGTGATAGAAGCACCTGTGCCTTAATTTCATTTTTTGGTCATTAAAAATTGCTTAAACCTTTTTGAAATTTGCCTATAGTTATTTTTTTAAATGTCCTCAACATGTAATGTTTGATATCTCCTTTGGTAAAACCATGGAAGAAGTACCATTTATAAAGTTAATTTATTTGCTCGATGACAAATTATTTGAACCCTCGCCCCCCCTTTTTTTTATTTTAGGGTTGATCTTTTGAAAAATATGGAAAAATTATGGATTACATATTTGATCATTGCCTACTGTGGTAGTAGCAACACATACTTTGTTGTTTCCCCATGAATTTATTATTATCACCTGATGTTGCCCGTGAATTTACAATCCAGTTAGGTTGTTCAGTAAGCTCCTGGCATTGTACCATCCTAAATCCATGTTTAGGTTTAAAGATTTCATAGTTCTTCATCTAAAATTTAATATTATTATTAATAAATTCTAAATAATTGATAACATAAAAATAAATCATATCTATCATTGTGTTCTTTTCTTCATTTCACACACATGACATAGTTTTCTTTTTTAATTCTTAATCGTCCGTTTTATTATTTTACACAATTAAGCTTTCAGTGCTTGAACATTATTCAATTTCCACTCAATAAAAGAAAAAATTAAATGTTTCTATATTTGAACTTCAATGAAACAGGTTTGGTCTCCAACCAAGCTGTGGACACGGGGTATTTCTGTAGCTCTGAGGCCAAACCAAGCTGTGGGCACGGGTACTTTTTAATTCTTAATCATCCATTTTATTATTTTACACAATTAAGCTTTCAGTGCTTGAACATTATTCAATTTCCACTCAATAAAATAAAAAATTAAATGTTTCTATGTTTGAACTTCAATGAAACAGGTTTGGCCTCCAACCAAGCTGTGGACACGGGTACTTCTATAGGTAATGAGTTAAATCAACTGGTTTCCGATCTTACACGCGAGGAAAGGGACATTATGGAACAATTACAACAGCTGGAGTCCCGCGCCAAGAAAAGAAAGAGACAAGTTGATTCTTGGTTGGATGAATTACTGGTCTTGAAAAGAAGGGCCGTAGATATGAATAATTGAGGTCTACTAGAAGAAATGCAAAAGCATATGAAGCAGAAGCCTCTGGTCCTGTCCAACCAATTCATCGGTGATGGTTTTGAGAAAAATATTACGAAGATGTGGAAACTTCTGGGAGATGATAAAGTCTATGTGATTGGCATACATGGAATTGGCGGAGTGGGTAAAACTTTGTTGGCAACTTATATAGAGAGTGAAATAAAGAGGAAGACAACTTTCAAGGAAACCTTCTCGATTTCTGTTTCTCAAGGATGCAGCACTTTAGAACTGCAACATTATATTGCAGATGTAATTGGTGTCAAGATTAATCAAAAAGCTTGTGAAGAAACAAAAGCAGAAAAATTGTCATTGGCTTTGTTGGAGAGGAGAGAAAAATTAGTCTTGATCTTGGACGATGTATGGAGTTATATAGATGCACAGAAAGTGAGAAAGTGGGAATTCCTGTTGGAGTGAATGGAATTAAATTCATTGTCACAAGTCGTTTGAAACACATCTGTCAACAGATGGATTGTTTGCCGAATAACATGATTAGAGTGGATCCTCTGTCTCATAATGAAGCTTTGGAGCTGTTTTTGTTAAAACTTGGACACCACGGCACACCTGCAAACCTTGAGAACTAGAGATTGCTAAATCCATTGTAGAGAAATGTCATGGTTTATCAGTTGAAATCATCGAGAGGGCTATAATCATGAAAGGACGAAATCACATTTGTGGATGGGATTATGAATTAAAGAAAGTTAGAAAAATGGAAATGGAAGAAGAGGTCTTCAATGGGTTAAAGCTCAGCTATGATAACTTAGTGGATAAAGAGATGCAAAATATTTTTTTATACTGTGCATTATTGCCTGGTACTATTGGAAGACAGGAGATGATTGTGAAACTTATTGAGGGTGGATTCTTGAATGGAAAGAAGAGTTTGGAGGAAATATTTGATAAGGGACATGTTATATTGGATGATCTCACAGACCATTCTATGTTGAACGTAGAACATGGGGAAAAGGATTATATAAAAATGAATGATTTGTTGAAGAAGATGGCATATCATATATTGAAAGAGCGAGGGAGTTACATAGTAAATTGTAACCAAAAACTGGAAAAGATACCTGACCTACAGGAATGGAGGGAAGATTTGGAGGCTGTTTACTTGATTGATAACTTTATAAAAGAAATCCCAGAAGGCATATCTCCTTATTGTCGACGTTTGTCTACCTTGCTTTTAGCTAGTAATCGCTTCAGTCGCATTACAAAATGTTTTTTCACACACATGAATGCTTTAACACTTCTTGATCTATCCGATGTCCAAATAACATGTCTGCCAAATTCAGTGGGTAGATTGAGGTCCCAGATACTTTAATTGATAAAGTACCAGAAGGCTTGCAAAATCTAATCAATTTAGAATGGCTTGATTTGTCCAACAATAAACAATTGAGATTGATTTCAGGGTCTGTGCTATCCGGTTTGATCAACATACAATACCTTGATCTTTGACCCTTTTATTTGGATTTGGATAGAAATATAAGGATGAGTAAGTTGGAATGTTTTGGAGTCTTCTTTATCCGCAGCCACTGCTACAATAAGTTCGTGGAACAAGTCTCAAACAGATCTCTCTCCCAAAACTACAGTCTCTGTTTAGTTGGAGACGTTGAGGATTCTGAGCTTGACAATTTTGAGTTTAACAATTCTATTGATCCAGTCAAAATGAACGGGTGTAAAGTGGTACGTTTCCGGAATTGCCCACAATTGCTCCATCTAGTGCCAAAAGACTTTACTCATCTAGCTTTATATGATAATCATAATTGGACATGTTTAGGTAATGTTTTGTCACATCACCCTCCTTCTGTGAAGAAGATTGAGCTTGAGGAATGCACAAAATTGAAGAACTTAGTTTGTTTATCTGATTGTTGTGGTTTGCTATGGTTGAATGGAACATTCTCTTGTCTTACGAGTTTAGATATTTGGTTATGCTCTCACTTAGAGTTGCTCACACCAAATTTTCTGCCACACCTACAAAACCTGCATATAATAAATGTAAGCAAGTGTGAATCATTGAAGGCGATATTTGTAGTGAGTAATGATGATCCAGAGTCACTGTCACACCTACATAACTTGCAGATAATAAATGTAAGCGATTGCAATTCAATGAAGGAGATATTTGCAGTGAGTAACAGTGATGATAATTCCAGCATTAAGCTCTTGAAGTTAACAAGTTTGTTCTTGAAGTCTCTGCCTCCATTCAACCACACAGGACCACAGCAAAAGTCAGATAAACAAAATAAGTTCTCTAGTCCCGTGCAATTCTCAATAACAATGGTGTCCAGGGAAGAAAGAGGGTGAGGTGACAGAGACAGAGCATTACCTAGACATATACCAGGAAGTTGTACCTGCAGATAAGCAAGGTCTTTCGGCAAGGGCAGTTACGAATTGAAGTAAAGCCATTTCAAGTTGATTCTTGGACAAGTCAAGCCATTTCAAGTTGATTAGATTTTTCAAGCCTTGTGGTACGTTTTCAATTGAAGTATCTGAAATGACCAACCTTGATAATGCTTGTAACTCACCCAAAAGAGGCACATATTTCAAATCTTTACATCTTTTGAGCACTAAAGAAACAAGAGACTTCAATTTGCCCACCGAATTCGGTAGACGTGTTAATTGGACACTAGATCAAGAATTGCTAGAGCATTCATGTGTGTGAAAAACACTCCGGAATGCAACTGAAGCGGTTACGAATCAAAAACAAGGTAGACAAATGTGGATAACAATGAGATGTGTCCTCTGAGATTTCACTTATAATGTTATTCATCAAAGAAACCGTTCCAAAATCTACTTTCCATTCCAGCATGTCAGGTATCTTTTCCAGTTCTTCGTCACATTTCACTGTGTAACTCCCTCTCTCTTTCAAGAGATGAGATGCCATCTTCCTCAACAAACCATTCATTGCTATATAATAATCTTCGTCCTCCCAATCATATTCTGCACTATTCATCAACATAGAATGATCTATGAGATTATCCAGTATGATATGTCCCTCCTTAAATATTTCCTCCAAACTCCTTTTTCCATTTAAGACTCCACCTTCAACTAGCTTCATAATCACTTCTCGTTTTTCAATGTCATTGGGTAATAATGCACAGTGTAAAAAACAATTTTGCATTTTCTTTTTCACTAAATTATCATAGCTGAGCTTTAACACATTCAAGATCTCTTCTCTAATTTTCATTTTTCTAATTTTCTTTAATTCATGATCCCACCAACGAACGTGATCCCGCCCTTTCATACTTACGGCCTTCTTGCTGATTTCAAGTGGTAAACCATAACATCTCTTTACAATGCATTGTCCAAGTTTTAGTAAAAATAACTTCATAGCTTCTGTGTAAGATAGAGGATCTACTCTGATCATGTTATCTAACAGACAATCCATCTGCTGACACAAGTTTTTCAAGCGACTTGTGACAATTAGTTTAATTCCAATCACTCCAAGAGGAATTCCTACCTTCTTAGCATCTATATAATTCTAAACATTGTCCAAAATAAGTATTGATTTTTTTTCTCTCTTTTCCAACTCCAATGACAAATTTGTTGCTCTTGTTTCTCATCATCTTCATCATCAAGCTTTACTCTTATTTTTTTTGCGATGTCATGTTGCAGTTTTGAAATGCTACATTCTTGAGAAACAGAAATCCAAAAGACGTCATTGAAAGATTTCTTTTTTATTTCACTCTCCATATAAGTTGCTAGCAAAGTTTTGCCCACTCTCCCCATTCCATGTACGCCAATGACCAAGACTTTATCATCTCTCAAAAGTTCCCACATCTTACTAACATTTTTCTCAAAACCATTACTGATGAATTCGTTTGACAAGTCCAGAGGCTTCTGCTTCTTATGCGTATCCTTAACACTGTTTGTCAAGTTGTGTAGTTCATTCAACCAATAATCAACTTTTCTGTTTCTCTTCTTGCCGTGAGACTCCAGCCGTTGTAATTGTTCCAAAATGTCAGCTTCGTTGTTATGTGTACGATCAGAAACGAATTGATTTAACTCATTAATCTGACTTATAAAAGGAACCTCGTTCACAGCTTGGTTTGAGGCCGAAGCTGCTTCATTAAAGTTCAAGCACAGAAACATTTAATTTTTTATCTTATGGAGTAGAAAATGAATAATGTTCAAGCACTGAAAGCTTAATTGTGTGAAATAATAAAACAGATGATTAACAATTAAAAACAAAACTGGATATATATATATATATATATATATATACAAACAAGATTAAAGAATAAGTTCCTTTAATGAAAGGAGAGAGAAGTATATCCGGAGATCCACATGTAGAAAAAACATCATTTGTTTCTTGAACGTATCCTTATAAAATGAAACTATCGGATTTTTAAGTCATAAGACAATTGATGATTCGTGAAATGAAGAAAAGAACGCAGTGAATTGATAAATAGGATACGCACGTTCCAACAGATGAATTGACTGTGCATTGTTTTGATGGTTAATTGAACCCGCCATTGTTTCACAGGCCTCTTCTGTATTACGATCAACAGAATATATAGCAATGCCTTTTCTCTTGATTTCATCCACGTGTGCCCTAATTCTTGAGTAACTTTCCCTAAGCATACGTTAAAGCGGTTACACTTACACTTTTCACCTACTTCTTGGGTAACTTGGTTACAAGTATCCTCCGGTCTACCTACGATTTATTTCCTATGTACAAATCATTCATAAGCCATAAAAATATTTTTTTCTTAATAATAATATTTTTATTTTATTTATAAAAAATTAATTAATTCATTAAAGTTACTAAAATATCAAATAATTTTTTTATGTTAAATATCAAATAATTTTAAATTTGTCTAAATTTTTTTGTTAAATAACAACACTAAACTATTATTTTATACGGGCACTAAATTAACGTAGGATACACATTTATGATACTATTGTATTCATCTATTATTTTTTTAATGATGCATTTAAATGAAAAACACTAAAACTAATATTTTAAACATTAATTAAATATTTATTTTAAACATTAATTTTTTAAATAAATTTATATGTAAAAATTGTAAGTATTGGATATTCTATTTATTTTTATTTATCTTACTTTTGCATCTCACTCCTAAATTTAATAATGATCTATATAATACTCTAATTTTCATTTGTATTTTTCTTGTTTTCAAAATAGAAGAATTAAAAAAAAAGAGAATATTCTTTTTACTAAAATTTTCTTACCGACACTCTTGCTCAAGCGAGAAATATATCGTTTGAGCGAAAATTTGTGACAGAAAAAGGTAGCTATCAAGCTTGTTTTTGTTCAAGCAAGAATACCTTCGCTCGAGCGAAAATATCAGCAAAAAAATAGTAATTTTTATTTGGCTTTTTCGCTCAAGCGAGAATTCACGAGAAAATAAATATTTAAGTAATTTTGAGCTTCTAAAACTCCATATCTCTAAGTAAGAAACCATTCTTCTCTCTTTTTCTATTCTCTCACTTCCCTTCCTCAGAGAAAACTCTCTTAAACCCTGAATCTCTTCTAAATTTGAGCTTTAGCATCATTTCCTCTTGATCCCAAGAAGAACTTAGTCTTTTGACGATACTTTCGTTAAAATGTTGTATTTTTCTCTAGATCTCATAAAGAATGTAGTCTCAAAAACCCATTTCTAGGCAACAACCCTAACTCCTATTTATAAGTTTTTGGCTTAAAATTTAGGATGACAGATTCCTAATGTTTTCTGAATAATTACAATGTAAAAATAGATTTTTGAGTATAGAAAACTTATGATATGTTTTAAGAATATTTTCATAAAAGTGATATTCAATATACATGTACATGTATTGGGAAAAAGGGATAAACCATAGGATAGATGATTTTTTATAAAGACCGAGAGAGTGTGATATTTGACAATGTATTTTTAAATTGTACGATTGGGTTGACTTCGAAGGTATCCGACCTTCGACATATTGTATTGATTTGTATGATATGAAATTGATTGATGAAGAATGTTTAACTGTTTTTAAATGATGAAATCATAATTAGTAAAAAGTAATGAAAAGAATTAGTGTGAAATTGATTGCATTTGAAATAAAATTTTGAAAGAGAGTTGACGTAAATGATTGATTGATGATTTAACCGTACATGAATGACATAGTATGATAAATTTTTATTATGAAAAGAAAGAAAAACAAGTAGAACTTGTACTATGAAAAAAGTGATGAAAAGAAATGGATGTGAATATTTGAGAAGTGATGAGGAAATACGTGTCATGAAAAAATGACTAAAATATGTATGGATAATTACAGAGATACACTAGAAGCATAGAATATGGAGACAGTGAAATTTGGGAGAAAAGTCGGGTAGTGAATGACATTCGCTTGTGTATATATAATCTATTGATTGTAAATGCATCACATGATCTCACACTCGTTTCTTGACTAGACTCATAATTATACTTTTGATGAGGAGTCCTTTATTGTATACGTTGTATCTATGTGCATGAGCTAACTAACGACTATCTATACTTATGGAAGACCTCAATGGATCCTAAAGGCAATGATTGTGAATTGTGAGATGTGTGATTATAATAGGTGAGTCATAACAGATTGATTAGTGTGATTATAATAAAACTATTATAATACATCGACGAATTAATTAGAATGTATGTATTGTAATTCATTGATTACTATGGTTATAACACACTTATTATGATATGCTGATATATTAAATGAATAAAGTGGTATGAAATCAAGGATGGAATGATTGAATTTAGTGATGTGTGAAATATTGTGTATTGATGTGATTGTTATGATGCTTGAATTGCTGCAGGTTCATTAATATAGTATATGAGCTAGTACTATTTTAATATGTATTTTGTATTAAATAAACGTTCTATGTATTAATTGATTCATTTATAGAATAAAGGATTTAGTGGGGTAAATGATACTAATTCTCACGAATTATTTTTTAGGAAATAAAATTGAAAAATAAATGAAGGTTAATCCATTCTACGATTATATACTCGGTGAAGTTATAGAAAAGATTGCTCTATTAGGGATTAGATTAATTTTAAAAATTGTAATAATTCTAATTAAATTTTCATTCAAAGTTGACAAGAATATATAACTATTTTCATATTATTTATTATGAATTTATAGTATTTTGATAAATTTTGTTGTAAATAATAATTTGAAGTGTATTTATAATTTTGATAGTTAGCTATTTTAAATTTGTAATTTTCATTCAATTTTAGATAGAAATTTAATCTGTTGCAAGGTAGTGTTGTTCATTTATTTATTTTTAACTTGTATGTATGTAATACAAATTAAGTAAATTATCAAGATGTAAATTTTAGTTTTTTTCTTTATTTATAAATTTAAAATTTTGAAAACTATTTCTTATAAAATAAAAAAAAATGTAAGTTTTACTTTTTCTTCAACTCTTTAAGCTATAAATTTTAAGCTATAAATATAAAGAAATTCACTTCATTTCCCTTCTTCATTATAAATTATTAATAAAAAATTAAAAATGTTACAATCTATAACTTTATATGCTTCAATTTAAAATCAAGTAATCCTTATTTATTGCTTATGTTAGATTAAATTTTTGGGATCAAATACAATGGGAAAGTTGCTACGCTTGCAAAAATAAGTTTTTATATTTTTTAAAATAATTTCTTTGAGTCTTTTTATCACAGCATCAACAATTTTGTCCACACAAGAAATGAAATATATATTTTTTAATTAAATTTTATTTACAGAAGATACAAATCTTATATTTTAAGACCTCATGTCTCAGTTAAATTTCATTTGTACCGAAGATAATTTAAACGGTTAGAGCCTAGTGTAACACATAACGCAATTACAACAAATTTTAACCCTAACGCAAATGAGATAAAATTAAGTTTTATCTTGACGTAGATAAAACTAAGTTTAACTTTAATTAATTTTTTTAACACAAAAATTGTTGTAAGTTTAGCTCTCTTGTTTAGCTAAAACACTACTATAATCATAAAATTAGATAAGGGTGAGTGCAAGGTTCTATTTTATTTATTGCTTTTAGAATTTTCAATAATTTTATTTTTTTGCTATGGATTATTATAATTAACCATGATTGTTGTAAATAATAGTCTTAGTTATATTTCATAAGGTAACAACTCCTTGGTTAAATTATATATTTAGTTTTTATAGTTGATATTTGTCTATGAAATAGTTTATATTCTTAAAAAAGTTGCATTTTAATCCATATATTATCATTTACTTACAATTTGATCATTATCATTTATATTTTAATACCTGCTATTAACAACTCTTAAGTGCAGAAACTAATTCGTAAACAAAATTATAAAGATCAAATATATATTTTAATAAAAAAAACTTTTTTTTATGAATTTGTTTAAGAAAAATAAAAAATGAGCCACCAAATAAAAGAATAATAAATTTTAAAAATACTAAAAATTCATATATTTAAGTAAAAAATTATTTATAATTTACCATCATATATTTATTAAAAAAATTTATTAATTTGGTAATACATAAATGAATTAAAATAATAATAATTATAATTAATAAAATACTAAAAATAAAACACATATAATAAAGACTTTTTACTGTGGATAAACAAAATCTTAGCATATAGATTTTTTTAGTCGATATAATAGGATAAAAAAGATTAAATATATCTAATTTTTTTTATCTAATTTATAAATAAGATAGTAAAAAATCGAGTGATGAAATTTTGAGTTGATATAATAAGAATTAATTATTTATATCATGATAGAAAATTTATGAATACATTCATATAATAAAGTTTTGAGTAATAATATAATTTTACATATCAAATATAATAAATATTTAATTTTTATATAAAAAAAATATTTTTTAAAAATATTATAAAAATTAATATATTATATAAAATATAAATAATTAAGTGTTTAGTCCTTTGAAAGTTTCACAAACATTTAATTAGAATACTTAAGTTCAAATTATACTTCTTCTTTAAGATTAAACACTTAATTAGATAAAAAAATATTATATGTAAATTGATATAGTTAGAATATTATAAATTAGAATAAAAATTCTAAAATTGATATTTTATTTATTTTTCTAAAAGTAAGATAATAAGTAAAATTTTT